CCTTGCTAGAGCGTATTTTTTTTTTATTTCCGCGAACTTTGACTACTGAATTCAGATATATGCAAATAATAAATTGACGAAAAGTTGTTAACAAAATGTATGGAAATTTTACGATCAGTTGTTGACAGGATGTATGGAAATTTAAAGGTGTGGGAAGATAAAAAATTTGGAATTAAAATTTATTTACAAAATGTATGCGACTGAAACTGTGCTGATGGACGCGTGGTGGTAAAATAGAGAGCAGTGACATTATTTTAATTGTTGTGGTGGTGGTAGTAGTTGCATTAGTAATTGACGGATGATCGCATTTATTTCTCATTACCATTTCTGCTAACTATTTTAGTTTGGGTGGACACGGATGTCAAGGTCAATTACAAAAATATTTTGTCATGTGATGAATTTCAAATTCTTCTTAGTTGGATAGAAAAGTCGGTGGATTTGGGTGGGGGGGGGGGGGGGGTGGAGGTGATGACAGAAACTGTTAACTAAGAGATGTCCTAATTTTTTATATTTTATATTTTACTAACGTTGCCTCAGATTCTTTTCAGTTTTATTTATATAGATTTCTTTATTGTTAGTTTATTATTATTTTTAGTTGGTTGTTTAGTAGTACAGTAGTAAGCTTTACTTTAATAAAAAAATATAAAGCAGCTTAAGCATGTGAAAGAAGAAAAACTTTTTTTTTGGGGGGGGGGGCTGGGTGAAGTGGGGGGGGGGGTGTCCACATAATATCGTTTACACAAACACTACATAAAGACACAATTATGTGTTGCGTATTCTAGAGTCGTCAAACCAGACTATCCCTTTATCTGCACAGACGATGATTGCGAAATTAACCATAATAGACATGCGATCGTTGTTTTCTTTTTTTTTTTTTTCATTTAGCCAAACTAATCCACAACAACGCGTGGCCGGGTAGAGCTAGTTTATTTATAGAGAAATAATAATTTAGCATACTATTAAAAGGCGCTAAGAGTGTTAAATTAATAAGGACATGACAAAGCACACAGAGCAGAGAATTAAACAAGAAGTGACAAATAAAATGAGGACGTGATGAGTCATCTATGCGTCATAGATGCACGAACTGCTGTCTGTGAGAGTACAACCAAACGCACCTTTCGCTAAAGCCCTGGGAAAAAACGCTGACTAAGTAGCCACGATGATTTTGAGAGAATTGTGTTTACTGAGATAAGACCCTCCACAAAAACGTTCACTACTATTGCCTGATAAGAAAAATAATGCTGTCAAGGCCACAGTACCAAGTGAAGTACCAGACGAATGCACAATCAGACTGACAGAACCTCTGGTGCATGCAGTCATGACAGTTCTGGTGTTACTGCTCCTTGTTTTAAGCTTCGTTTGCCAAGCAGCAATCGTTGGTAAGTCTATATTCCATCATCATTATTACCATGAGGGAGGTACTTTTTCAGAATGTCGCTCAAATCACGGTCTAAGCGAAAGACACCCCGTCTCTGGCCAGCTCTCCCTGAATTTTCATTTTCCAAGCAATCACCTATATCATGTGCCTATCTCTGTGCTGAGTTTCGTTTTTTGCTTCTATGATCGGCTCTTTTGGTCTAACAGTTTCTCACTTGGTTTCTACATCTGCATGGCCGTATACTATATCCTCAGCCTTTGGTATCCTTTTACATTGTCAGGGAAAATGAGTTCCCTGATATGTAATACTCCAACTAAAAGCACCAAAAATGGCACCAAAGATGTGTCCATTTATCCTGAGGGATACTTGCTCCTAGTTGGCCACATCGCAGTGTTTACTATCCTCTTCAGCGTGGAGGTGCAGCTGGGGATTTTTCTTTGCTGAGACCAGAATGGCATTTCCTAAAACTCTCCAGTGCTTTTAAAGGACAGTCGATTTTTATTTAAGATTAATCTCCATAGTCTACGCCAAGGGTTAAGGCGTTACGACGGCGCTTTGTAATTCCAGGGTGCTCAGGCTTGATACCAGATATAGCTTATTTTTCAGCAGACAGCCGTACATTGGTGTCGACAGTGGCATTGCGAGCCTAACGTTAAGAGAACAATGGTAAACTAGTGAACATGGCATTGGCTAGGGAAATCACACATAGCCAGCAAATGATGGAGTTGGTTCAGAAAAACGATACGTATCTAACTGACTGATTTCAATATCGATTATCACCCATCAGCCAGGCCCCTGCCCAGACATCCAAATGTCCCACTTGGGGAAAAAAAACTTATAATTACTAGAATCTTCACTTGATCGCCACTTTGTGCGATCAGTGCCAGACAAGGATCTGAGTTTGAGGTTTGAGGTGTGAACAACGGATCAACATCATGTCACACGGGTGGTAACCCATAAGGGCTCCGTTCTTCTTCTAACTCAAGTCTGAGTCTGTAGAAGCTTAGCACAGTGCACAGACTCTGTTGCACCGGCGAGGATCATGAAATACTTCGGGTAGATTTTTAACTCTATATTTTTTGCCCCGCCAGCGCCGTTAGGCTACTCATTTTTATTTCCAACTGCCAAGGGATTTATTACGTGCCCAACGATGCACACGGGCGTCCGATTTCACTACCCAGAGACCGTGGGGAATTTCTAGAAGTCCATGCCCACATTAAAAAAATCCCAGCTCTTGTCGGGGATTAAACCGAGAGCATCTAACACTCGAGGCGAACACCATACATCGAGACCACGCAGTCCCCTACAAAGACGTGAGTACATCACTGAAACAGAAAATGCCTGAAGGTGTAGGAAAAGGTAATAATTACAATTACGGTATTCTTCTTAAAATCCATGCGTTGTGGTAGTCATTTCTAGCCACAACCCTCTGTCTCGTATATTTTCCAGTCAATTCTGACACAAATGGCTTTCCGTGTCATGATATTAAACTGACTAGCAGCTTTTCTTCTTCTGTTCCATTCCAGCTCTGCCACGATGAACTCCAGTTTTTCCTTCTCATAGCATGCCAAACGAAATTTCGATTGTTTCCTTCTAATGTGAGTATTCAGTTCTCCTCGTGAGTCTGTTTCTCTTAAGACATCCTAATTACTATTTTAATTTTTTTAATATGTCAAGGTATTCTCATCATTTGTCTATAAAACCATCTTCTACTATGAAACTACTATGAAACTACTTCCACATAACTTTTCCTTAATCGGTCAACTGTCCATGATTGCCTTCCGTGTATCAAGGTAGGCTTTACATAGCTCATGTTATTGCTACACTTGTTTCACATACAGATGGGGCTAATGTTCTACCTTTTCACGTGGATGTCCGCGATGACGGCTCTTACTCCATTCTTGTCAACAATGTCACCTGGTTGAACAGCGGAGACACTGCTTTTATCTCCAACAGAAAGACTTACTCCACCTCCGACAAGACACTGAAGGTAAGAAAGTTTTCCTATCATTCATTTAATAACATTGAAGGCATAGGCCATGTTTCAGTAAAGTCCATGAGAATAGGGAAACGAGTAACGGAAGGGGTGGATGTGGAAGAGGAGGAGGGCATGGCTCTGTCCCAGTTCTACCATCTCAGTGACAAACCCCAAGAGATATGGATCGTTTCACAAACTCTTTTATAGTTTTCTTTGGTACAACTGCTCTGGCCCTCTCACCTGGTCTGGGCTTTAACTTTTGTGTTTCTGAGTTTCTTTCGCGTTTCTGTCCGGTTAGGGAGGTCTATTCTTTGTTGTTCTCGTTGTTTCTTTATGTCAGTGAGAAGAGCTAATATTTATGATTTAAAATCTGTCATTGAAACTACCTCTTTCGCAATCTGACTTTGAATTTCTAGTGGGGTCTTCAGGATTTCTCTCCTGTATAGTCTCTTTGCGTATCTGTTGTATGTTCCCTGCTTCTGTGTCTTTCTGGTGGGTTTTATCTCACTTTTCAGCTTAGTAATCTAGTCATGAAGTTGTGCTTTTTCCAGGGATGATTTGCTCTTGAGTGCTTAGTATCTCCTTTGCGCTTTTCTATTGGGTAAGTTGTTCTTCATAGCTGTTTTAATCGTCTTCCTACACTTTTTGTAAGTGTGGGCAGCCCAAATTTTTGTCTCCATTCGGGCAAGAGTAGTTTTTGAGTAGGGTTTTCGGAGGGCCTTTCCTTCTGGGCCAAGGATATTCTCTAAATGGAGAGGCTCTGCGCAATACCTACAACTGCCCTGTTTGCTGAAGCAAGTTGATATGGAATGTCCCGATTTCTGACATTTTGGAACATTACAATAAAGGCGGTATGTACCGCTGAGGTCTCTGTCTCCCCCAGTCCATCATCACTTTGTATGGTATTTCATCGCCTTCCGTAGTTACTTCGGCCACCATGTTAGGTTGTTTTTTGGAACCGATTCACTTAACCTCGATGCTGTTTAGTTTTGAAATTCCGTTTTTCTGCTCACCTTGTATTTCCTGGTCAGTTGACTGCAACTTGATGGGTTTGACAACCCAACGTAGGACACTGTGAAAAATGGGAACAATCAGTACATCTCGTTCGGCAACTTAACTCTTTCTTTCTGTTTTCCTTTGTGTCGTGGATTATCTTGCTTGTTTTCATTGTCTTGTGTCTTGGTGCGTGTGGCGACCACTCCGTCTCTGGTTTTCCTTAACTTGGCCACATATCGCGTCCCCAGCAGGTTCCCCATAATCTTTAGTGTTGCCAGCTTAGTTAGGGCAGACATTGATGCTCGTCCCGGGCTGGTTTGTCGGAACATAATGGTCGCCGCGATGTCGTCAGCTGGTGTACTCTTTTGAATATTATCTGCATCGGACTGATGCTGTGAAGCATATATGGCTGGTTGGTTAACTCACAGAAAAAGGAGCGAGGGGGGGAGGGGTGGAGGGGGGCTTTAGATTTTAACTGTAATTAGGTTTTGTGCGCCATATAAAATAGTTTAGCACTGCTTGCCACCAAATAGCTCTGGGAAAAAAAACTCTTTCAGAGTTGATGGGATCACACGAGACAGACCAGTGACGAAGTCGTCTACTGGCAAACCAAATGGGCGATGTTGTCGCTGATATCAAGGACTGAAATAGTAAATAAACGGACTGAGGCCGTCCTAAGAGAATCCCTAGGATTGACGCTGTAGAAAGAATTGCATAGCTGCTGGATTTGATCCACCCATGAATATAATGGTCACCCAGAATGGAAGACAAGACTGTGAATCCAGCTAGTCACGTTTAACGGCACGACTTCATGATTATAACGGTCGGAAATTACTTTCTATTCCAGATCACTTACTCAAACACATCTCAGGGGTCGGATCCCTTTGGTCCATGGAGATCCTATAGTTTTATATACCAGTTCGGGGATAGCTATGTCAACGCAACCATTCAAACATATACCGACCCTAGCCTGCCTGCCGCAATATTTCATCAGGTCAGTTGATGTTGTGTTTGCTTATACAGCTCATACATAGTATAACTTTTTCATATTCTCGTTGTTTTCTCGCTATTCTTGTTGTTATTGTTATTGTTCTTCTTCTTGTTCCTCTTCTTGTTTTTCTTGTTCTTCTTGTTCTTCTTGTTCTTGTTGTTGTTGTTGTTGTTGTTGTTGTTGTTGTTGTTGTTGTTGTTCTTCTTCTTCTTCTTCTTCTCTTCTTCTTCTTCTTCTTCTCTTCTTATTCTTCTTCTTCTTTTTGTTCTTTCTTCTTCTTCTGTTTTCTTCTTGTTCTTCTTCTTCTTCTTCTTCTTCTTCTTCTTCTTCTTCTTCTTCTTCTTCTTCTTCTTCTTCTCTTTTTCTTCTTTTTTCTTCTTCTTCTTCTTCTTCTTCTTCTTCTTCTTCTTCTTCTTCTTCTTCTTCTTCTTCTTCTCTTCTTCTTCTTCTTCTTCTTCTTTCTTCTTCTTCTTCTTCTTCTTCTTCTTCTTCTTCTTCTTCTTCTTCTTTTTCTTCTTCTTCTTCTTCTTCTTCTTCTTCTTCTTCTTCTTCTTCTTCTTCTTCTTCTTCTTCTTCTTCTTCTTCTTCTTCTTCTTCTTCTTCTTCTTCTTCTTCTTCTTCTTCTTCTTCTTCTTCTTCTTCTTCTTCTTCTTCTTCTTCTTCTTCTTCTTCTTCTTCTTCATCTTCTTCTTCTTTTACTACTTCTACTTCTGTTTCTGCTGCTGCAGTTGTCACTGTTGCTACTGCTGCATCTGCCCCTCATTCTCCACCTCTTCCTTCTCGTTCTTATTTTTTGTTTGTATTGATGCTCTTGTAGTTCTTCTTGTTGTTCTTGTCATTTTTTAATTTTTTTTTTTTTATTTTTCCTTGTCTTCATTCGCTCCTAAAAGCGCAATCTACACGATGTGCTGTGGTTTACAGCCTGGCTGTGATATCTGCACCTTTGGCCAAACACATTTGATCACATCAAGCGCCTAATTAGTAGCCTTGTGATGACAAGTTTGTGAGAGGGCAGAGTGTCTTTTCCTTTGTTTCTTCCTACCACAAAATGCCTTCACGGATTCCTCACGAGGATTGCTGGCACTTAAGTCTTTTATCTGCGAGAATGGAATGTTAAAATATTATTCAGTCATAAGTAAAGAAACATAGGTTCTGGAAATACTACACATAAAAAGAAAATTACTGGAAAAAAAACACATAAAAGTGAAATACTCTGGCCACATCAAAAGGCATAACACGCTTTTTAAAACCATACTGGAAGGAAAGGTCAAGGGCAAGAGAGCAAGACATGGGCAGCGATACAAGTGGCAGGACAACACCAATAGATGGACGGGCCGCAGTCTCAGAGAGTGTACACCTAGGACAAGAGACAAGGCATGTTGGAGATCCGTTGCAGCCAACCTTCACTGTGGAGACGGCGCCGATTGATGATTGAGAGAAATTTAGGCAATATCAATTCCAGCTTCATAACACAAGGCCGCACCCATAGCTGCTCCAATTCTGTGCCAATGATAACCACATGAAGGTCCATAACTTGTATATACTGGGCTATAGAGAGAATTCGGGTGACAGCCCCTGGCATTGACGAGTGTTACTAGCAAGACCAGCTCGCGTTAAGATTATTTCACATGAAGTGCCTGAAAGTAGGAAGTTTGTTACGATAAGGTTTTGTAGTCTGGAGGATTAACATCTCTATAGGATGAGAATTCCACAAGTACAATCCTGGTAGATAGTTTGTTCCAACCAGAGTTGCTGTAGCAGGATTAACATCTCTATAGGATGAGAATCTTACATGTACAATCCTGGTAGATAGTTTGTTCCGATCAGATTTGCAGTCTGCAGGATTGACATCTCTATAGGATGAGAATCCAACATGTGCAATCCTGGTAAGCTCCGTTCAACTGTGGGATTATATTGGGACCCTGGCGGTTAGGGGTAAAATGAAGTCGGTATCAAGCATGGATTAGAAATGCATGAAACTGTCAGGAAGTCAAGATCCTCTTTCGCCTTTCGGCGCATCGGACAAATGGGAAGACTTATCAGATTTTTACAGACTAATTGACACAAGATGGGTAATGTAATCAGTATTACGCCGGCCGTCTTTACTTCCCTAGGACATACGTCCTTTTAATCATTTTAGGCTGGGCTGATCTTCGACGCCCCGTATCATGATAAAAATCTAAGCAGCCAGCAGTGGGTTTCGATTGCGGTACGTTGGAATTACTAATCGCCTAGCAAAGCCTAAGCCCGACATGGATAAAACGAATTTGGAAAAAAAAAAATATTGCCGGACAAACCAGCCAAATCAACCAATACTTCAAGCAGATGTCAAAAAAAAAAAAAAAAAAAACATCATCAAACTCTCCAATTATGACCTATAAACACAGGCTGAACGGGGTCAGGTAAAAGGAGCGGAAAATCCCATTAGATTTACATATTTATTTTCCTACGATTCTTATTAAAAATATGTTTACTTGTATCTATCAAATCACACATCAGCAATATCTCAGAGATACAGAGAACACGTCGACAAACTCTGCCAACAACGTCATCAGCAAATTCCCCAGTTTCCTTCTTGGTGGACAGAGAGGAGTCGACCTGGGCTATCTTGCATTTGGAGGCAACATGGCGGGCTACTCGAGCATGTCGCGAGGGAGGTATGTCAGAGTCAACTGTAGTCAATATATATATAGATATATATTATACTAATATATATATATCATATATCAGTACATGATCAATTGTCCTGTTTGAAACGTTTCTCTCATCACGCCACACCTGAAAGTGTCTCGTTCTCTAGCTAGTTTCCAGGCCTATGCTCTTTAAACATCCAATAAATCTTCGTTTTGTCGCACCCGCCTTCACTGAGATATAAGTTCGCCTCGTTCTTCGGGGAAAACTTCCACATCCTTCTCTCTTTGCGTCACCCTGACGTTTAAAATGGCCAACATACAGCAACTGTCAGCACATGATTCAACTCTCCAGCCTTAAAGGTAAAGGTAAAGTCGGGAGATGTGAACCAGGGTCATTGCACACGGTTTTAAACCATAAATGCTATGACAACAGTACGAACAGCTGATAAGAAACTGTCCTCATGTGTCGCCGTTCCGCAGGTAACTCCGTAGCTACAGCGACGTGCCTACATCCACCCCAGAGTGTCAACTCTGGTACCCATTTCCTAGAGGCTGGGTGAACCCCGGAAACGGCGAGTCGCAGTTGGATTCGAAAGCGAGCCTCCTATCCACTGCGCTAACGCGGCGTGTGGGCTTTAACAGCCAATGCATCTTCAATTTTTTGTAACCACATTCCCTGAGATCTATCTCTGTCTCGTTCTTAAGTAACCATTTCATCATCCTTCTCTTCGGGCAACTGTGACGTTTAAAACTGCGTAAATACTTTAGCTTTCGGGACGGGCTGCTGTTTATTCACCAATTCTACTCGGAGCTCAGATGGTGTAAGAGATTGGACTATTTAGCTATATCTTCTTTATGGTCCACAATATTCTGAGAATGTATCTGTAGCGTATCACTTTGAAATTCCTTATATTTTTTGCTCTTTATTAATTGAGTAGGAGCCAATTTCTTACACCGATTATCAGTCACATGTACAGTGAGCGGCTGGACGAGATTGTAGACATCATCGCTATCATGCGAGAGATTTATGTCTGAATCCTCAGTTAGATAAATTTACCACCACCCCCCCCCCCCCCCCTCCACATCGAGTAAAAACGCCTGTATGTGGTTCAAATGCCCCTTTTGGTACACACAAAAAAAAAGGAATATACCCACTGCCTACCCGAAAGCATGTCGTAAGAGTCAATTCATTAAGAGTTTTCTTAGAAGTTGTTGTTCATCGCCTGAGAGGCAAGGAACCAACAGTCTGCATACCAATAATTCAGATATGTAGAACGCATGCGCATGCAACTCTCATACTCTGAAACAGGAATATATTCCTGAAGTGGACGAAAAACCAAAACTTTTCGCCAGAGTTTACACCTGGTGAACGAAAGCACTCACAGCAAAAACTTGGGAAAGATAGAACGACACACTAGACTAGATTATTCTTTACTGAGCTATATTATTTATTTGTGATTCAGAACTTTTTATTTCATAATTGTATTGTTATATTTCCCTCTTACACCAGAGGCTCTAGTCTGTTTGACAGAAATCAAAAGAAGGATGGCCATAGCAATGCGATGATTAAATAGCATTAAAAGTCTATGGTGAAGCACCAGCAAAGAGATCAAATTTAGAATTTTGAGAGCATGCATCTTCCCTGTCACAACATACTGATGTGAGCCGTGGACTGTCTAACAGACCTTGAGAAAGAAAAGTAGGGGCTTTTGAGCTTTTGAGCTCTCAATACCATGGAAAAAGACGAGAAGAAATACTGATATTTTGAAAAGATCTGAATGTCAAGAAGGACTGGCCCATAAACAGCATTCTGTCTCTGAAGCTGAAATATGTTGGTCATATCAAGTGCAATGGCGGATTGAAGAAAATATTAGCAGAAGGCATGGTACTAGAAAAGGCGGTGAAGGGATGGAAAGGCTTATCAACATGAAGATGGGCACAAGATATAACTAACTCCTTGAATATGAAAGTACACGAGGCGGAAGAGCTGGCGAGAGACCGAGTTTCTTTCAGACAGACTGTGATGAAAGTGGCGTTCTTCAAATGACTTGTTACCTGATGATAACTAGAGATTCTTCTAAAACTGACTGGAAGAATAATTGTCCAGACAACAAGGTCCTTCCACACTGGACTAGAGTTTATTTTCGAAGCCTATTTCTTGTGTCCTTATATAACTGTGCTATATGGCTATACAGGGAGTCGACGTGACGTTGGTGGCTAGATGCCCGCCTGCGGATCGGAAGGTAGTGGGTTCGCGTCCTGACAGAGCCGGACTATTTTTTTTTTTAAATAACATTTACTCCCAGCCATGAGTGGGTATCAGGGGCAGTCCTGGGAAGTAAAAGCGTTCGGGGTGGACGCTGACCACATCACCTACCAAATACCGATTAGTCTATAAAAATATAGGTTTAGCCCTATATGCCCAATACTTCTAAAGGCGTGGAAAAAGGGACCGTTTTTAATATGACTATATGGTTAAATAGGGTTTCCCGGATTTGACCCTGTCTGATTCTCATCCTTGAGATGTTATTCCTACAGACTGCATCCCACCTATTTTGAACAAATATTGTTTAGCAACCATTGAAGGATAACATACATACTTTAAAAATGACTGTTCAGCCCCTGTTTAGTTGGTTTATTGGTTTGATTCAAACGGATCAACATAATGGCATAAAGGCAGTAATCCGTAAGTGCTCCGTTATACTTTTATCTCAAGCCTGAGTCCGAAGAATCTCAGCGTAGTGCATGAAACTCCATAGCACCAGCGAAGATCCTGAAATACTTTAGGTACATTGTTAAATCAAAATATTTTCTTGGGCAGCGCTGTTAGGCTACTGTTTTTTATTTACAACTGCCAAGGGATTTTTCACGTGCACAACAATACATACGGGAGAACCGATCTTACTACCTAGAACAGGAGAAATTACTAAAGTCCGCGTGAAAAATCCAAGCCTTCACCGGGGTCTAAACCCGGGACCTCCAGCACTCGAAGGGGACGCCATGCCTCGAGACCACGTAGCACTTATATGATACCAGCTGTACATAAAAGTTCTGGTTGTTCGTCCACTTCTGGACTGCAGTCCTGTTCCAGAACCTGAGTGTTTATGATTTAAGATGTTATTTCACTCACCAGATTTGTCCAGAATGCATCATTCCCAACCGGAATCCAGGGCGGACCACTGGTAATATTTGACGAGAGCAGCAATGCAATAGTTATCTCTCCAAAATCAGCGTTCATGGCAGCGTCGAGTAGCATCGACGCACAGAAGCAAGTCAACTGGGGCATCATGGGCGAGGTCAATCAAGTGCCAAGCGGGTATTCTTCCCAGTATATTGTTTTCTTTAGCAACAAGGGGATTAACCAGGTATGTTGTTCTCTAATATGTTATCGTTAATTAATTTACACACAGAGATGTGAAAGTGTGGTAGAGTGCAGCACTTGTTGTTTTTGTTTTTGTTCTTCTTGTTCTTCCTCTTCTTCTTCTTCTCTTCTTCTTCTTCTTCTTCTTCTTCTTCTTCTTCTTCTTCTTCTTCTTCTTCTTCTTCTTCTTCTTCTTCTTCTTCTTCTTCTTCTTCTTCTTCTTCTTCTTCCTTCTTCTTCTTCTTCTTCCGTGTTCACCCCATATGCATGTTATTTAGCGATTTACAACTAGGATGTTATATCTGTGCCTTTCAGGTCAAGACATCAGATTTATTATCACTAATACAGGTGCTGCATCCCAATATCGGATGCAATATATGTTTAAGATCACCCCCCTTGCTGTAGCCAGGGGCCCTAATATAACCCAACTTGTGGGTAGAACGAGGTGTCTGGGACCTGTCCCCGGTGATCCTCATTCGAATGGAGGCACTTTGTGTCACCGGGTGTTTACTGCATGGTTTAATGTCCGGGTGTGGTTCAACATCAACCAGTCAATCGTAAATCCTATTTATGTGCCAATGTCCGCATACGGGTAGTCAGATAGGTAAAAATATGTTTGGTCTGACACGCATGCCTCAAAACACTTGATAATTGTGTAATTACAAATTTATTTCGCTCGATTAGAAAGAAGAAGAGAGAAAGAAAGACAGATGAAACAGAAACCTTCCTAGAAGACAATTTAGACAGAGACTAGTTAAATGGGAACAGCCATTAAATGAGAACGCAGCAGTGTTACGAAGCAGTCTCTTGTGAAGTACACATACGTCGTGTCCCATTCTTAGCAGTACTGGTGTGAATGAATCCTGATACACCTGCCAAAACAGCCCTCACTCAGACACCAGCGGGATAGAGAAAGAAGAAGCGTCTAAAAAAGAAAATGGAGACGAACAATGGAAAGTGAACTGAGTGCGGCAACTCTGACATGGAAAACTGCGCTAAAGATCGCACAGGACAGAAAGACATGGAAAGTCCTCTTTGAAGCTCCATGTGCTACAAGGCATACTGAACTGACTTGACTGCTCTGAATGAAAGATATGACAGCGAAGTGGGTGGATACTCAAATGCAGTTCCGAAGGTGTTTGGTTCAACATCGCATTTTTTTTTCAGCCCTGAATTTAGCTTGCAGGTAGGCCCAGCCTATGATAGACACTGGTTGAGGTTATATAGAGTAAAAGCGGCCAGCGTTATGTTGACCACATCACCCACAGAGTGTCGTTCGTTTGTGTGTGTGTGTGTGTGTGTGTGTGTGTAAAATGTCTTGCATACACCCACCCCTCCCCGCCCCATTCCCCCCAAATCCCCCCCCCCCCCCAAACCGTCAGAGTTGTGATGTGAAGCTCCCTAAACACCAGTCAAGGGAATGGAGTTTTTATGTAAGGCAAATCACTTGAATGTTGAATTAAGAATCGACATCATAGTTCTCGAGACACCCCTATAAGCGCTGCATCCCCATCTTCAGCAGCAAGTCACGTAAATTACAGCTTTCAGCATAGAGCTTGTGATATCCACCACACAAGTTCCCAGTGGACCCTTGCAATAACTGACTCCAGCACTGTTCGCCAGATGTGCGAAATGCGTAAACAAGGGTTTCTAATGACCTTTCTTACTGTTCTGAAAAGTATTTGCAGTTTTTTTTTAAACTAAACACACAATAACGATGTGAATGCGGTAAAAAATTATACTCGCCAGGCCATTCAAGGATGGGGCAAGTACTTGACCACTCTCTATCAGAAATCGAGAGATCCCAGGGACAATGATTTGACCATTCAGTATGTGGGTTACTGGACTGACAATGGTAAGGTTGTTGTTTTTCGATTTCCGGTTGCACGGCTTTGACATTTCTTACCCTATTTCTTACTGTTCTTTTCAAAACAGTTATTGTTCAACTTTTTTGTTTTATTTCTGTCATTTTTTAAATGTCATTTTTTTTTAAAATTTATTTTAACAACATTTTTCTTCCGAATGTAAATCAGACCTGCGTACCCAATTCAACAATAACAATGTTTCGTTCTCCTTAACGTTGTTTTAACCCTTGAATATTTCATAATATGTGCACCTGAAAAATATACATAAATAGCAGAAAAATAAAGTACAATCTTAGAATCCTGTCTTCTGTTTTCTTTTTATTTTTATTTTTCGCTTTCACCGGCTGTAAACTCCTGCAGAATTTTTTGGTTGTTGTCTACTTTCAGACTAGTCTCCCTCCGGAATATGAGTCGTGCGTGCACATTCATTATACAGATCTGGCTTATTGTAATGCAGAATGTTCACAAAGCAGTGGCAAACTACTAAAGCAAAATTAAATAGTAAAATCACAAACAGTCGAGAATTGCTGGGGGTTTTTCTGCAACGTCATGTAAACTATATTGTAACTAACTTTGTGGTTTAACAGGGCAATGTTACTTTCAGTAGCTTTTCATTGCAAACTGAAATATTCGATGTGTGTCGCATGGCTTACTTACTACAATTTCTTATTTCTTTACCTCTTCTTTAGTTCTTTATTCCGTGTGTTTTCGGCCTGAACTTATTAATTTAATCCTGTTAGCTCATTTTATAGGCTTGATTTTTTTAAATCTAAACTTAAATATAGTTCATCTAATTTGCCTACACCTTGTTTAGTGATCAACGGCCTTGGCAACAGTCAAATTCCGTTTCTGTGACAGTGAAGAAAGTTTTGATTTCGTAAGTACGCCAGCACTTGTTTTGAGATAAACGTGTTGAAGTAAACAAACAATTTTCAGCGGGCATTTAAAATTAAAGCTGGTTCAATAATAATAACTAAAATGTAAAATAAATGAGCCATTAATTAGCAATTTTAAAGTCCAATTAAAGTTCTGGAGATGCGGAAAGACAATCTTACCCAGAGATAGACATACAGCTGTCCAGATTATTACCAAGCGGTCTACTGTCAAATCATTCGCATCTGCATCGAACCAGGTTCTTTGAAATTTTTAAACTATGTCTATTTCCTGTCATCTCAATATGGACAGACATCGGCGTATGTCATAAATATTAATAAATCATAATTAATGCGAAATATATAAATAAATAAAAAATTATTGAAAAAAAAATAAATTATTTCTAAATCATATTTATTGCAGCATAACTTGATTAACCCAGACCTATTATTATGTTTGCAGGAGCTTATTATTACTACAAAACGGAGACAGGAAGAATTACGAATTACGAGGACACTATACTTGACACGGTTGATTATATCAACAACTTGGGTGTACCTTTCAAGTCAAACTGACGCCTAGATGCAGAAAAAAAAGACATCCTAATCACGTACCCCGATTCACCCATATTTTGTGGAACTGTATACTATAATCACCTAACTTTCAAAGAACTGTACTACCGTCGCATTCCTTTCATGGAACTTAATACCCCATTCACCCACCTTTTCTGGAACTTTATACCCTGTTCACCTACCTTTTATTTTTGGAACTGTATATTCCATTTTTCAACTTTCATTAATCTGTATACTACATTTATCTATCTTGTATGGAACTTATACCCGATTCACCCACCTTTGCTGGAACATTGAAACCCAGCTTGACTAGAACGTTGTGCCTCATTCCCTACCTTTTGTGGATCATTATACGCTTGCTGTTTACATCCAGGTATCTACAGTATGACTCCTGGTGGTATCCAAAAGGAAGAATTCAAGGAGTGGACACGTGGACAGCTAAACCGGATATCTTCCCACACGGCTTCAAGTGAGTCCACATTTTCATTTTCTCTATGTACACACATTTAATGCAGGTATACGGTAGAAGGTCAGTTTCTTTGATTTGTTCCCTATTGACTCTCATCCTCCTTGTGTGGCCTCTACGGTCCCATTTTGTGGGGCAAAACAAGAATATAACCACTGGCCCATAACAAGTATGTCCTAAAAGACGACTATTTATGGTTATTCCCTTTAAAGTCGGAGTGCATCTGCTTGAGGGGTAAGCAGCCAACAGTTTGAAAATAAATGAGTCAGATTTATAAAAGAGATGAGCACGCAATGCCGAAGTTCTGTAACAGGATTAGAGTCCAGGGGTGAGTGAACAACCAGAACTCTCCTTCGGAGTTTACAGCCAGTGAGCGCCAAAAAGCCGAAGAAGAAGAGTACGTCGTGACAGCTGGAATGTTTGAGTGCAACGAGGCAGTGGGTTATCAGAGGAGAGAATGTTTGACCGATTAGTGTCTTACACAAGGCATCTCAATGGTCGCAGACCACCAGGCAGACCAAGAGGACTATGGAGAGATAATATCCAGCCAGACCTTCAAACACTTGGTGTCACCAGCTGGAGAAAAATAGGCCACTCAGAGAGATGAGTGGAGGCGGGTGATATCTGCAGCGATGAACCTCAAGGGCTCGGAACGCTGAAAATGAAAAAGAAGAAGAAGAAGTTTTTGTTCTTGGCATGAACGACAAACAGTTTTGAACAATAAGCCAGATACAATTCTGTAAAAAAGCTACATAAATAAGTAGAGACTTCTAGTTTTATTTTCGTTGGTTTAAAGGGATTACTGCTATAGTATACGCATATCTTTGTCTGTACTTCACCGGTTCAGTAGAACACTGTCTCATATATCAAACCCAACGAAAAGTAGAACCAGTCAACTTCACATTATCATAAACAACAAGTGAAACTTGCGGCTAGAGAGCCTTCATCAGCACATTAAATAAATAAACAAACCAAAAAAATTAATATGAATAAAATGAATTCACAAAACCACCTAACTAAAGTATCCCCCGAGACGTCATATTTCTATCTGGCCAGCTGCAAACATGAAATATGTGCAACTACCGGAAATGAATACCAGTCAGAAACAGCTGTAAACAAATTAGATAAAGCTGTGATGGGAGGTAAGTCCCTTGGGTGAGTTGGAGCCCATTAAAAAGATACGGCGGTTTTTAAGAAGTCAACGAATTCTTTCTCTGAGTGCCCAGACTTAATGGCCCATAACCTCCACGTCAAAGCCACCTTGGTGACCCTTAGAATTTAAATGCGCCTACATTGGTTTTGCCCACCGCTCTTAACTTGCCGTCGAGCTCCAGTCTCGTTTCATTCAAGTATTCTATACTATATATTTGTAGATTATGGCGTAAAGTACATTTTGGCTCGTCCAGCAGAATACTTCACGAATGTTTAAGGTGTTGTTAGGAAATTTCAAACTGTGCACTTAAACCACACACGGAGATGTCTTACATGGGAGTCTGATTGAATAAAGGAATGAATGAAGAATGAATGAATGAATAAATGAAAGGAGATCTCTGTACTCCGGACATTCCCACTCGTGCTCTGTTTCTCTCTTCAGTAGCTAGCAGTCCTCGTCTTTAGAGTGCCCGTTCCAATGTGATTAAACGTCCGCTTGTATTTTCCCCTCAGCGTTAAATATCATCCAAAAGTCCAGCTTAACCCACGAACCTCCCTCCCTCTGAATTACTCTTCTAAATTAGGGATATGCAGTCTGTTCTTTTGCACTGGTCACTTGATCGCAGAGAGCTTTCTCTGCGGCTGCTGTATCATAAAGTAGCGCACCGTCCCGTGGAACGGCAGCAGCAAATCTGTCAGACTGTTCGTTCCACCGCATACCAGAATATCCCAGACGAAAGATCCCCTATATACTCCTGAGATGAGTCTTACCAAAAGATACAAGCCACTCTACCCGCAGAACGTCAGTTTCTGCTTTCAGAAGCATGGTCTGTGAGTCCGTAAAGAGGCGATAAAATATATATACATATGCTTATATGTATGTACAAATACATATACATGTATATATGTATGTATATATATACATACAAACTATATATTTCAGGTACATTTCAGACAAAACAAAGTTGCCTATTGGTTGCCACAACAGATACTGGTAAGATCCCCCACTCCCTGCCCCTTCCCCAAATACTGTATCAATAAGATGTTGTGTTTATGTTTCGCTTCGTTGGTGAGAAATTACTGTCACTGTGCTCGGATAGGTGCTGCAGTCTCCTGACACAGTTCAAGGCCTTGACCCGCTTAGGACCGCAGGTTACACAAAACAGGTATTGCTGTTCAATCAATCATACAGGTGCCGTCTTCACAGTGAAGGTTGGTTGCAGTGGTAGGTTTAA